CACAAAATCTCCTTTTCTATCATTCCTGACTTATTCGGCTGTACAATCTTTAATTGCACACTAGTGACGTCAGGAAGATTATCTCATTTCACCATCCCTTATGTCTTATGACTATAGGATTGTGTCTTATGAAATATTCTTCTATCTTTCTTTTATTCTTTCTTATTCTTCTTTTTGTCTTTTCTTTTCTTGTTTTCTTTTATTAATGTAAACTACTGATTAAGAATTCAAGAATAATTCCTCTGTCCTATTTGAAATAAGAATTATGATAAGTAACTTTATTTTCAAGCCAGTGGAGTAGGTGAATTTTTACTTCACACAGTCAAGGGTTATGAATGATTAACATATCTCATGTTAGTTATTTTTATTTTTTAGGAAAAGAAAAAAAAGGTTGTGTATATTGATGAGGCAAACAAAATATTTACTTAGAAGTGTTTTGAATTTCAATTTTATTTTCAAATTATTTTTTTTTGTTAAACTAAACCTAAAATAATATTACTTTGAAATACATACTTCCTTGTTACAAAATATTCTTTTTTATTTCCTTAAAAATTATTTTTTAGGTAGTATTTCTTTTTGTTAGTTTTTTAATGAAAGTATCATTGTTTTGTCTTAAATATATGAAAACCTTTCACAAAGGTATTAGTTATTTGTAGGTATTACAAAATATTGTATTTAATAATGACTTGGATTTTTCTTGCTCTTTTTAAACAGACTCATTTTGTATCAACCTAACAATAAACAGAAGAAGATTTGATAATGAACAAAATTTTGAAACTTAGTAAGATGTGATTCTTCACAATTAAAGTTACTTCAAAAAATTGTTGTTATCATTAAAATATTCCTGTTGAAATAAAAAGAATAAAAGAAAAATATAAATATTGATAATAATTATTTTTTTTTTGTTTAAAACCTTAAAAAAATAACAAATATAGAGATAATGATAATAGGATTAATTTACAGTAAGGAATTATGGATAAAAATGTTGTTGTTTAAGAAAAGCCTATATGTTTTCTGAAGTGTATTAACTTTTTGTTATTTGTCTTTTTGTAGGAGTGAACTGAAAAGAATAGAACTTTAAGACTTTTTTCTTCCATGTTAAAGTTTAAATGCCTCATGCTTGACCATGATGATACTTCAGTTGATTCAACCCCTAATATCCATTATCCTTGTTATCTAGAATTTATGAAAACAAGACCAAATGACCATATACTAACATACCAAGAATGGTTTAAAATGTTATGGTATAAAGGTTTATTTACTTATTACCGTGAAGACCTTCATCTTTCTGAAGATGAAATTCAACAACAATTGAACAGTTCAAGACAATATACTTTAACACATGAGCCAGCACATTTCTTTCCTGGTTTTATTGAAATGTTAAAAGAATTTAGAAGGTTAGGAGGGATTATTGGAGTAGTATCATTTTCAGATGAACAAAATATATTAAGACATTACCGTTCTGAAACAAATGGAGAATTTGTTCCTGATATTGTCTATGGATGGAATAAAGAAGCACCTGAGAAATGTAAGCCATATGCATTTCCTGTTCTTGATGTTCTTGAGAAATATCATTTAGAAAAAAAAGATATTTTAGTAGTTGATGATTTACTTCCAGGTTTAGAAATGGCAAAAAATGCTGGAGTTAAAAAAGCTGGTGCATTATATGGAAAAGGGCATGAATTTCTTAGAGAAGAAATGGAAGAACATTGTGATTTTTTATGTGAAACTGTAACTGATTTAAAGAACCTTATTATTGAATCTAAGAAAGAAGAATGAATTAATTTTCATATTCTTTTAATTCATATATTGGAGTATTTTCAATTATCCATTTTTGAGTTAATTCATCTTTAATTTGAGGTAAAATTTTTGATCTTATAGAAGCATTAAACTTATTTAACCATATCTTTTCTTCTTTTGTTAATAATGAAATATCTATTAATCGACTACAATAAGGAACTAATGTAAATGGTTCAAATTTTAAATGGTTTTGATCTTCTTCAACAACCACAACAACATTTTCAATTCTTATTCCAAATTCATTTTCAATATAAATTCCTGGTTCAATACTTGTTGTCATACCAACTTGAAATGGAAAATCATTGTTGAAATGAGGTGGGCATTCGTGAACAAGTAAATAATATCCAACTCCATGCCCTGTTCCATGTCGATAATTCCATTGAGGATTTCCTGCAATAATTGGGTCTCGTGCAAAATGATCTAAATCTTTTATTTTAGTATCTTTTGTAAAGATTTTATTATGAAGATCAATATGTCCTTGTAAAACTCTAGTATAACATTCTTTAACTTTGGAATCAGGTTCTCCATAATGAACAGTTCTTGTTACATCAGTAGTACATCCTTCTTTATATTGGGAACCAATATCACATAATAATGATTTGTTCCAATCAATAATACTACTCTTTTCTTTTGTTGGGCCATAGTGAATTATAGCCGCATTAGCACCAGTAGCAATTATTGACTCAAAACTTGGACCATTATACAATTGATAATTCTTACTTCTAACTTCTTCTAGTAATTCACAAGCATCCCATTCAGTCATTTGAGTACCCTTTTTACTTTCCATTGTTGCAAAAAACTTGCAAAGAGCAATACTATCAATTATATGAAGTTGTTTCATATTTTCAATTTCTTTAGGTGAACGAATAGACTTTGTTATTTGAATAAAGTCCAATTTTTGTATTAATTCTGCACCTTCTTCATAGTCATAAATACGGTCTAATAATTCAAGATTAGTAAATGGCTCAGAATAATAAATGGTTGGTCCAAACATAAATTTTTCTAATAACTGAAAGAAACTATTATAAGGTAATACAATTACACCTGCTTCTTTTAATTGTTTAAATTCTTGAATTTCTTTTGTCTCAAGTTCATTTCCAGTAAACAAGAAAGATCCATTAGGATTTAAGATAGCATATGCATACGCTACAGGTGAAAAAGGAATATCAGTTCCTCTAATATTAAATAACCAAGCAATATCATCTAATGCTGTTAATATTAAAGTACCTAAATGATATTCATTTCTAACTAATTCTAATTTTTCTTTAACTGTTAAACCAGAAGCAGTAAATTCTTCTACTTTTGCCAATACTAATTCTTGTTGTTGAAGTTCATTAAAAATATCAAACTCTAACAACTTATTATTATCATTATCAAACATCTGACCAAGCATTGGAAAAGAAGTAATCAATGGATTAAAACCAACAAGAAATTCATTTCCATCATTTAAAATAAATTGAGTCGGTGTGATTGTACCTAAATCACTTTGTCTCATTAATGTCCATTCTTTTGGTAATTCCTTTTCAGCTTGAATATAATATCGAGCATCTGTCCATAAAGCAGCTACATCATGACTAACAACAATTGTCGCATTTGATCCAGTAAATCCACATAACCATTCAATGTGTTTATAATATGGATGAACATATTCAGTCATATGAGGATCAGATAATTTAGAAAAATAATGAGTAATTCCTTTTTCTTTCATTTTCTCTCTAAAACATAAAAGTCTTTCATGAAATACTTTCATTGCTGTTTAACACTGAAATATATTTTAGTCTTAAATTAAACTTCATGAAAAAATTAATTTACAAAAAATTGATAAATTAAAAAATAATTATTTTTAACTAATTAAAAAATCAATCAAATTTAGTTTGTATTCTTCTTATTCCTTCGAATGATATTTATTATTTGTTTAGTTATTAATGAATTTTTCTAGACAAATTGCAAAATCCAATTCCAATACAACTTAACAATGATGTCTTTGTTTTTTCATCCCATTGAGCTTGAAAGGTAACTCCTGTTAATGCTTTAATAGTTCTCAAACATTCTACTGCTTGTGCTGTTAAATCACCACACCTTAATTTACTTACATCTTCAGAACATAACGTCATTAAAATAAATAACCAAGGTTGATGCATAGAATCAATACATCCTCCTGTTTCAATCTCTCTTAATAACCCACAAGCTACTTTCTGACCAATATCTTCTGGGACATTACCAGCTTCACCAAATAATTCAGTTGAAATAATATTACCATTTGTTGTACTGGCAGTTAATATAACACCATATCCAGGAGAAGTACCAGCTTCTTTACCTTTCCAATGGTCTGTAGTAATATATACATCTTGAAGGTATTGACTTAAAATACCTTTTGAAGCTTCTCCCATACGATTACTCATTTGGGGTGATGTTTTTGTTGAATATGCAACACCACGAATAGAACGTACTAATCCTTGTTCTGTTAAATTAATTGGATTTAATTGTTTGATAATTGAAGAATTAATAACAACTTCACCATCTCCAACAGGAGGAGCACCTCGTTTAATAACTTTAACGTTAAGCATATCTTCTTCTATTCCAAACTTTTGGATTAAAGGAATTGTTGTTGAACGAATAAGATCAATTGAAAGATCATCATTTCCATTAGTAATTCCATTTAATGTAATTGTTGTACTTCCTTTACCAAAAGGAAGAATAAGTAATAATGGAACAACGTAATAACCTAATGACCTTCCATTATTACATGTATGTTGAAAATTACCACCATTTACAATCCCTGGTTTATATAAAATTGAAGTACCATCTTTACCTATGTCAATCTGTGCTCCACTAGTAACTTCAGACACTAATTTTAAAAAATCTACTTCATAATCTCTTATTCCTGGATTACTATCTTGTTCACGAATAGAAGTAATCCTAATAGTTTGACCAAGTAAAGTAGATAAAACAATACGATAACGGAATGCTTTTGCACCTTTTAATTCAATTGCCATTGATATAAAATAAGTAAAAAGGGTTTTATTTCTTATTTTTAAAAATTTTAATTTTGTGATATTTTTTATTTTTGTTATTAATAAAAATAAAAAGAAAAAAAGAAAAAAATGGAAAAAAGAACTTCAAAATCATAGTGTTAACATGCTTTTTGTAGTTTTCTTTATATTATTCTTCATTGGAACAATAGCAAATGAAAGTGATTATCAAATAAATGATGAATTAGATGATTTTGAAGATATTGAATTTGAATTAATGGATGTGTCAGATGACATTGAAGATGATAATGAATATGAAGAAGAGGAAGAGTTTGATTTAGGAAATGATGCAAAGTCAGCTGAAGCTCTTGTTGTAGATGTAGAAAGAACACTTGCAAAAATGTCTTCATTCCCATATTCAGATGAATTTATGTAACCGACAAAGTGGTAATATTTTTCATTCATTTTGTGGTTTTCTTTCTTTGAAAGACAAAAAAGTAACACAAGAGAATTTAGAAAATATTAATTTCAAAATTAGTAAGATAAATGAGTATTAATCTTATTAATAATATCAAAATTAATAATAAATAATAAACTATCTTTTGATATCCAACATTCTCATTCCTTTCTAAATAACTTTGTGCATTAATTGGTTTTATAAACAAAAACTTTTTATAATATCTTTATAATTGTAAGTATATTAAATGTTCTTTAATAATAAAGAAATGAATAACAAACAAATAACTAAAATATATGAAAATACAAAGACATAATACAATTTCTATATAATCACCTGGAATAATATAACAAATTAAATTTAATAGATTTATAATAATTTCTAAACGAATAAATGGGTTTATTTCATTACAATAATCAACTGGACTAATAGACTGTGATTTAAACTCTTCTCCTGATATCACAAAATGATAATTAATTCCAAGATTAATTGAATTAAGAATAAAAGCTGTTACTATAAATATGATATGATAGAAATCTTCCATTCAAATTGTAATTATCTTTTTAAGTTCATATCAAGAACTTGATCTTAAAATTTTATTCTACATTTTCATATTATTCACAAAGCTGTTTAATTCATTAGTTTTTGCTTCAAGTGATAGAAATTAGTATCTTTCATATTTTTGTTTCTTCCTTTTGTTTTTTTGTTCAGTTATACGCTACGTCATCAACAGGGTTTTTTAGAAGTTTTAAAAATTTTTATTGGTAAAAAGCAATACTAAAAAGAAAAAAGCAAAAATTTGAAAAAAACTGAGAATTGATAATTTAAATAGCTATTTGAAAATGGCAAAATCTTTTGATGCCTCAAATTTACCTTCATTACCATTCACTAATAGCGCAACACATTTGGGTAAAGGATTAATTAACCCATTAGTTAAACAAGTACCACAACAATTACCAAAACTTACATTATTAGATAATTCAGTAAATAAAATAAGACCTGGCATTTTACCATCATCAGGAGGAAATGCACAACATGCATTACCATCATTATTTAATGAAATTCATACATCAATTCCTGTTCAGAAACCCAAAGGAAGGAAAAAAACAAATTTTTCAGAAGAGGAAGAAGTTCCTACCGAATCACATTATGTTTTACGTTCAAGAAGTGAAAGAAAAATCCCGACATTATCAATAGAAGAAGAAGAAGATTCAGATTATGATCTTGAATTTGAGAAAAAGAAAAAGAAAGAAAATGTATTTGAAAATGGTATTATAGATAACCCTTCAGCTTCTAAAGTCTTTGAAAAGATTTTAGCTATCAAACAAGAAGATGGAAAACAATTAATTTGTGTTAAATGGAAAGGGTTGAGTTATCTCCATATAGAATGGATATCAGAAGAACAATTTTTATTAATAGGAGGAAATGTGAGTGGAAATAAACAAAAAATAAAACGATTTTTACAAAAGAAAAATAATGATGAAGAAAAAGATATTTTCCCAATAGAAAATACAGAAATTGAACGAATTATTTCTGCAAATACCGAACGAACAAGATATTTAGTTAAATGGCAAAAGTTACCATATACAGAATGTACATGGGAAAATATTAATGATATTTCTGATAAAGAAAAAATCAATGAATTTGAAAAACGTTCTAAATGTTCAATTGTTGCACCATTACCAAAACGTGTTTGGCAAAAGAAAGTTGAATCACCAAATTATAAACATGGAAATAAATTAAGATCATATCAATTAGAAGGGCATAATTGGTTAGTATTTAATTGGTGTAGAGGGAAAGGATGTATTCTTGCAGATGAAATGGGGTTAGGTAAAACAGTTCAAGTAGTATCATTTTTAGAACATTTGTATTCATTCCAAAAATTACAAGGTCCATTCCTTATTGTAGTACCATTATCTATGATTGAGCATTGGCACCGTGAAATATTAGAATGGACTGATATGAATGTAGTTATTTATCATGGATCAAAAGGTAATCGTCAGTTAGTTAAATACTATGAATGGTATTATAAAGATTTTCAAGGAAAGTTAATACCTGGACATCTTAAATTTCATGTGTTACTAACAACTTATGAAATAGTTATTAGTGATTGGGAAGATTTATCAAAAATATCATGGTTAGTAACTGTTGTTGATGAAGCACATCGTCTAAAAAATAAAGATTCAAAACTATTAAAAGCACTATGTAATATTCAAACAAACCATAAAGTTTTACTTACTGGAACACCAATTCAAAATAATCTTGGAGAATTATGGACATTATTAAATTATATTGAACCTAAGACATTCCCATCATTAGAAGAATTTGATCATGAATTTAATTCACTTGATAAAAGTGCAGAACAAGTAAATAAATTACAAGAGAGTATTAAACCATTTTTCTTAAGGAGAATGAAAAATGAAGTAGAAAAATCAATTCCTCCTAAAGAAGAAACAATTATTGAAGTTGAATTAACAATGGTTCAAAAACAATATTATCGTGCATTATATGAAAAAAATAGAGAATTTTTAAATAAAGGATGTGTTGGATCAAATGTTCCTAATTTACAAAATTTAATGATGCAATTAAGAAAAGTATGTAATCATCCTTATCTTATTCCTGGTGTTGAAGAAAAAGATACTGCACAATTTCCAGAGGGAAGTCCTGATTATTTTAATCAATTAATAAGGTCTTCAGGAAAATTAGTGTTATTAGATAAATTATTACCAAAGTTATATGCAGATCATCATAAAGTATTAATATTTAGTCAATTAAAGAAAGTATTAAATATTATTGAAAAGTATTTAAAATATAAAGGATATTTTTATGAACGATTGGATGGAAGTATTAAATCAGAAGACAGACAAAATGCTATTGATAGATTTATGAATCCAGAAATGAATAGATTTATATTTTTATTATGTACTAGAGCAGGTGGTTTTGGTATTAATTTAAGTGAAGCAGATACTGTTATTATTTTTGACTCTGACTGGAATCCACAGAATGATTTACAAGCACAAGCTAGATGTCATAGAATTGGTCAAAAAAAAGAAGTTAAAGTTTATCGTTTAGTTAGTAAAAATACATATGAAAGATATATGTTTGAAAGAGCATCTATGAAATTAGGACTTGACCAAGCTGTTTTAGCTAATATCACTACTTCTTCAGATCCTAAAGATAAACAGCAACCATCAAAAGAACTTATAGAAAGTTTATTAAGAAATGGTGCATATGGAGCTTTCAAAGATGATGAAGAGTCATCATCTAAATTTTGTGAAGAAGATATTGAACAAATTCTTGAAAAAAGGTCATCAAAAGTAGTTTGGAAAGGTGGAGAAAATTCATTAGGTGGTTCTTTTTCTACTGCAACATTTCAGTCAGAAACAGGAGAAACTATTGATGTTAATGATGAACATTTTTGGGAAAAAGTTTTACCAAAAGATAGAAATGTATCTCAACTCACAAAGATATTTAATGATGTTTTTGGAGGAAGAGCAGGAAGAACGTCACAAGCACGAAGAAATTCATGGATATTAAATGAAAAAGAACAATATTTAAAAGATGTTAATGACTTTGCAAAACAAATTATTGAAGAATATGAAAGTAAAGGAAAAATAAGCCCTGATAGGGATGGTCTTGTTTCACTTATTGAAACCATTCTCACTGTTAAAAGTTATTTTGAAGAAGATGAAGTTAATACATTAGAAGAAGAATTAGAACAATTAAAAGTTACACGACATAGAAGAACTACTTTAAGTAGAATGGTTAGTACAGATATTGAAATGGATGAAGATGAAAATGAAGAAAGTCTTACAAAGAAAAAGAAAGTAAAAAAAGAAGAATTAAGCATTGAAACAAAAATCAATTGGTATAATTCTGTTATTAATTATGGAAGAGTTAATTGGATGATTTTAAGAGATAGAGCAAGAATTAGTGAAGATTGTCAACAAGATGAATTACGAATATTAACTATACGATTCTTAAAAAATTGTATTGCTGCTTGTGATATAAATGGTATTGAAAAGAAATATTTTGTTAAATTACTCCTTGCATTCCATGATGTGAAAAGAAAAAGAAGAGGAAAAGATGAAGAAATTAATGATGAACATCATTATACTTTAGAACCAGAATATTCTTTTATTACAAATGATGTTAAGTCTTGGGCAGTTAAATTAAAATATATTAATCGATTATGTTCATTATTTATTCACACAGACACGGTAATTGGAGCACTTGTTGACATTCCAAATCAAAATTGTAATTTCCCTGAATTAAAGAAATGGTGGAATGATGAGTGTAATAAAGATCTTGTGATTGGAGTATATAAATATGGTTTTTCTTCATCTGAATATCTTCAACAAGACCAAAAGTTATGTTTTGTAGAACTTATGAAAGATGATGATGATGAAGATAAACTTGAAAAAGAAAGTGATGAACCTGGAGATAATAAAATAGTTATTAAAATACCTAAAGAATTCCCATCAAATAAAGACCTTGACAAACAAGCAAAAACAATTATTGCTTGGTTAGATAAGTTCATTAAAAAACAAAAAAAAGAACATGCTTATGATGAAGAACAAGAATGAAGTAATTTTTTATAAAAAAATTATTATTGTTTAATTGAAACTTTTATTAGTAACGTTTTTAGACAATATTTTATATTGAAAGAGTTTTTCTTTTGACTAGGAATTAATTATAAGTTTGTTATGAGTAATTGCATATAAATTAACATAAAATCTATCAGCGATAAAAGAAAATGTAATTATAAGAGATGTACTTAAGAAAAGAACCTTGTAAAAATTAAAAAAAAGAAAGTTGGGGTAGAAAAAAAAAGAGATAATACACAATGAATGTTAAAGAAAAGAATATACTATTATTAAAAATGATTAAACAAGGTTAACTCCTGCAGAACAAAACAAAGTACATTGAAGCAATTTGTTCTAAATTATTTTAGGATAGTATGTGGTTTAACTAATCTTCAATGAATGAAGTGCTTTATATTAACATTTCTTTACACTAAATGAGTTAAAGTTATTGTTTATATACAATAAAGAGATTATGTTATAACATTCTTTATAGAGATATATTGTTTTATTTATTTGGGTATGTGTTGTTGTTTGTTAGATTTTATCGCTATTGATTAGGAAACTATCAATTTAAATAAAGTTTTCATTTTATTAAGTTGATTTGAGGTATTACTTTTTGTTTTGTAGTGGAATTTATTTGTATTTTTTTATTTGATTTTGTAGTTAAGAAAATACAAATGAAAAAAGAACAATTTATTTACAATTAATCAATTATTAATAATTAAATTAAGATTAAAATATTTATCATATATGTTTTTTGTTTTAAGAATTTAAAAAAGAATTAGTTAAAACGGGAAGTGAATTTAATTTTGGGGTTGAGTGAATTTATTAAGAAGTGAGGCAGTACTATCGGAAATAGAAATTAGAGTTGACCTATTAGAAGAGAGTATACTACGGATCATACCTAATAATATTTTTACATAAGACTTCTTTTCATACAACTCTTTAAATAATGAATCAAAGACATTAGCATAATTACCGCTTAAATTCATCTTATCTGTTGATGGTATTTGAAATGATTCATTACAAACATTCATTTTAGCTAATTGTTCAATATAAGAATGAACAATAATTTGACCAAATCCTTTAATAGAGAAATTCCTAATAAAAAGGTGATTAGATGATAAAATGTTATCATCAATATTAATTGAATGAACCAAACGTTCTAATACCATCATATGTCTTGTTAAATAATTCACATCAATTTGAGCATAATTAAAAAAGATTGTAATTTCATCAACAGGATAAATAGAGTATTTTGGGAACCATCTATTTTGTTTAAAAATAATATTTGGTACACTTGAATTAGATGAAGATAATGTAAGAAGAGTATTTTCTTCCTTTTCATTTGACAACAATTGGATGTTTATCATCTTAATAGTAAATGTATTAATTTCAAATGATAATTGTGATTGTTTTCTTTTATCAACTTTATACATTCCATTTTTAATACCAACATTAATTAAAACTAATGTTTCAATATTTTCATGATTTAGTTCTTTATCTTTAATGTTTATTTCAATTTCTATTGAATTAAAATTAACACTTAACCATTGTTTTATTTCTTGATTATTTAATGAAAATTTAATTTCTTCATCATTACTTTGATATTTAGAATTATTTGGTTTTGAAGGGGTTGTGTCTTCAGAGCCAAATCCCATCATTTGAGTACCTTCAGATTCTTGTAGATCAGACCCTTCTCCAAAAAATTCATTTGTTTCATCCTTAAAAAATAATCTATCATCTGGAAATGTTGATAATTTGATGGTGTCTTTATCAACTTTTCTTTCTATTCGTTCAATTCCTTCAACAATAAATTCTTCTTCATCTATACTATAATACTTAAATGATTGTTTTTTATTATCATTATCAAATGTTTTTAAAATATTATTTAAAAACTTTGTAATTTCTTCAATATTATTTGTAGTGGAAATACATGTTGGTGGTAAATTAATGTTCCAAACATCATCATTATTTTCAATTAGAACAACATCACACAACCTCATTATTATAGAGTCATTAAATTTTAATTCTTTTGAATCAATTAAAATTCTTTCTTTTGAGGTATTACCAATAATTCTAATCAACCCATTATCTAAAGTAATAGAAGAGTCACAAAAATGTAATTGTAGATGATTTATTTGAAGATGAATTTCAGTTGGTCTTGTTTGAATAAATGTATTGAAATCATGGATAAAAGAATATTCATAGTCTTTATCATTTTCTAATACAGTAATTGTTCCAATAATAAGTTGATCAATTGGAGGAGTTAAACAATACATAGTTTCAGTAATAGTTTCTTTATTTTCACTACGAATTTGATTTAATAAATCATTAAATGATTTATATTTCGTAAATGTGTATAAATTTCCTTCTATTTTAATTATTTTTAAATCAATTTTAATAGAAAGTATTGAAACAAAATTTCCACTACCAAAAAAGTTAGGTACAAATCTTAACCTAATAATCGCATCTTTGTCTGTATAATTATTTTTGTTATCTTTAATTGTTATTGAATTAATTTCAATTTCAATAAAATCACTGTTCATTATTTGTTTGCCTTCTTTATTATTAAATGGTAGAATACATTGATCAAGTGAAGATGATTTTATTTCATTATTTACGTCATTTTGTGGTATTTTAAATAGAAGATTGAATACTGAAAATATTAAATGAAGTTCATTAAAGTCTAATATCATAACATTGTTTATAGTAATTGAATAACAATGATGAGAATATCGAAGATAAAGATCTAATTGATCAAGAACATTTTCATTTAATGTATAAAATCTATTTAATGTCTTTAAATTATTTGATGTTTTAATTAAGCGAGGGGTTATTGTTTCATTAGTTGGAGTAAAGAAATTTACATTTTGTGTGTTTAATATAGCTTCTTCCCTTGTTGTGATTTTAAATTCGATTAATTGCATTTCCATAATTTCTATAAAATCATTTTCATTTATTTTTTTCTTAATTGTAACAACTGTTTGATCTCCATCAATTCCACCACTAATTATTTCTCCTTTTGGAGTACGAGACATCCATAACCCTTGTGTATTTTGAATAACAATATTTATTTGGTCCATTCCAACATCAATTAATATTGAATTAATCATGAATTTAACTTCTTTATTGATATTAAACAATTCACTAAGTATTTGTTCTAATTTTGATATTAGTTGAATGAATGAAATAAACTGGTTATTTTGTTTCATATCTTTAATATGTATATTACATGTGATTTGTTCTTCTGTTACTGCAATAGAAAGAACTTCCATATATTCTTGATTATTATTAAAAATATGAATTGAGTCAATACAAATGCCATACTTACTTTCATTATCTGGTTTAAGTAGTACTTGAATATTAATACCATTATCAATATAAATATTCATTTTAATGGGTTCTTGACAATTCCAAATAAGATGAATTTGAGGTACTTCACTCACTTGTGTTTTAGAAACTGAAAAAAACCAGCTACTTGGTTGTGTTTTTAATGTCAATATCTTTACAAACTCTTGTTTAAATGTATTAATTTCTTTAATTTTATTAAATATTTCATCTCCATTTATTATTTCATATGGAATATTCCATTCAATACTTCCTATATTAATACTCATTTCTTTTTTTAATGGATTTTGTTCATAACCAAAGAATGAATCAAATAATGATTCAATTCCTTTAATACAACATTTTTCTTTTTCTTTTTTTACACAACACTGAATTGGTTGATTATTGTTTGTATTAATACTAATTTCTAATTCATTAAATGACATTGTTGGTTGATCATTACAAGAAATAACAAAATCTTTTATCATTAATATTAATTCCTCTTTATTACTATTCCTTGTAACAAATTTTAATGAAGAAACAGAAACCTTTCCATGTTCATTTCTCATAGTCTATTTATTAACATTATTATTTTATTTTTCCTTTCATAACAACATCTTACAAACTGTAAATATCTCATTAAACTTGTTTGTTTTAAGTATAGAATTTTCATTCATCTCTTCTTCTTTAAAGTCAACTTCTAACTCTATTGTCTCTATTTCAAATGTTTTATTGTCAATATTTTTTATATCACTTACATATGATTTATAATATTGAAAATACTTCGGCAAAATATCCTATAAATGAGTTAATTATTATCTTCAAATGAACTTTTATAAATTCTTTTTTATAAACAAACCTTCTTAATATTATTGTTTTCAATGATGTCTGCTAATTTTTTTTCCATCTTTTGATTTTCATTAGTTTTTTTTTTAATTAGTTTATTATAAAAATATAATTTTTATTTTTCTTATTTATTTTATTAAATAACAAAAAATAAATATATATTTGTTTTTCTTTTGTTTTGTTTTATCATTCATTAAAATAATAAATTCTTCTCTTTCTTCTTTTGTATTTGTTAACTACTTTTGAGTATAAAAGTATTATCTGTACATTTATTAAAACTACTCTTTTTTTGAAGTTAATACTAAGTTCTAATTTACTTCTTGATTCTATCTTTTTCACTCATCTTCTCCATTCAATAATCTTGACAAAATTAGTACTAAAACTTTTTATGAATCAAATACTTATAAATCTCTTTTAACTATGAATGTTTTTATTTAGATATTAATAGAACAAAGATGTACAGACTTCATTGTATATTTTAGTCTATATAACTCAGCTTATAGAATCTTTTCTAGTTAATTTTCCTTTTTTTTTAATAAGAAAACAATAATTAAATTTGTGCCTTTGATAAAAATCCCCAGTAGTTTGCTTCTTTTAATACTTTTACAAGACTTTCAGTCAATCTTATTTGTTGTTATGACTTGGTATTCTTTCATTCCTTCCAATATTTTATTGAAATAAAAACTAAAAAGATAAAAACTTTTTATTAGACGTAAGGCAGTATAATATTAAATCTCTTTGCCATAAGTATAAATGATATACTACTTATTCTTTTTTTTTTGGTAAAAAAACTCTTTAATTATTAGTAACAAACAATATTCTAT